TCCAAGCAAGCGAGTGATAAGATATCATTTACTTATTTATATCATATGGCAGGCATTTTGATAGTTATCATTAGCCCTGTAGTTGACTTCAGGCTTCACAGAGGGGAGGAGGAACATCAAAGTGAAAAAAGTCGAGAGGGGGTGGGAATAGAAGAGTGTTTCAAAGATGTAAAAGAGATGGACACAAAGGTAGAAAAAAGGTGTGATGAGTACTATGGAAGTAGTCGGATATGACGTAGAGTGGGGTGATGGTACTTTGAAGTCAGAAGTCAACTGCCGATTGATAGACATTTTTGCCTTATGAGTATACGTTGCCCAGGGTGCACCACTTGGAGGTAAGTCTATCGTACACCCCGCGAGTGATAAGATATCGATCTTCAAGAACGAAGCTTTTCATTTTCTTGGCTCGTAGCTCTAATTCGAAAGAAAGTGCGTAGCAAGTTTTAAGCATTAGAGGGCTCTTTCCTGCTTATAGACAAGGCGACAAAACTGGACGGAATCTAAATGCCACATTTGGGTTCTAACTAAAGTTATTCACTAGCTATTTATTAACAACCAAAGTTCTCAGGTCTTGTTGCTCAAGGTGCATCTAACTGATTAGTGGTGAGTTACAAGGAATGCTTATTAAGGCATAAAATTTACAGGTTAGCCAATATGGCTACCAGAGCACGTCTATAGCTACATTTAGCCCTTAAGCCAATTTTACACATGAACTTCGTGGGTAGTGGTCATAATGGATCGAGGACTGAGACAGCTAGTGTAAGTAAATGGGGAGAAAAAGGGTTGACAGATTAACCACAAGGACGGCACGATTCAGAAAATAGCGATACTTATGCTTCTTTCCTTTGTAGCATTCAATCTTCGACTTGCGGAGATACACAGATCAGGGCAAATTGCTGCCCTATATGGATGTCTTCCCCCTTCCATTCTATTTAGTTCTTCGCGACGTTACTGCGCTACCCCAGTTGCTTGTCGAGGCTCTTCGACAGTGGTTTGAACTCGCTTCGGCGACGGCAGAAGGCTCTGGAAGCTCATTGAATGGCGCTTCGTCGTAGAGAAATTATTCATTTTCTTATCGTATATGTACATTTAAGCCAATCAGGTTTGTACAGAGATGATTCACAAAATAAAATGAGGGAATAAATAGTTCGTTATTGTGTTTTATATATGTTTATTGAATTCTTAGGAGTTATTTGTTTTGATTAGTCGAGTCCAAAGTGGTTAGTTTAAAGTCGTTCAGTTAAAACTATGTAAGTTAGTATTTTCTTGCTATCTTGGTCTCTGGAAAAATGTCATCAGTGTTATGGCCAAGTTACTTGATCACGAAACGCGAGGGACAAACTCATCGAAGTAATTTTTGGAATGCAAAGCCGTGAACTCTCCTCCGCCAAGTAGAGTGCGTTAAATGAATCCAGGTATTGAATCGTGTAGGCCACTGCGAGGCCTTGACTTTATTCCCCCTATTTTACTCATATTAAGCAACTTTGCTTACACAAAGAAAATAATTGAAAAAATCTCCTATGCAACTTATTTCGTTTCCTCTTTACCTAGCTGCAAGGTAAAGTGGTTATTACCTTGACGCAACATAGACGTCCTCACCTTATCTCTAGACTCGTTGAAATAAGTGCTAAAGAAACAATAAAAACAAAATCGGCAACCAGTACTGATAAGACTCGATCGCTTTCAAATAAAATCTCCAACTCCAATATGTATTTTTTAAATATCTTCACATTTTCTAAGATGCAGTGAGGGCTATCGCGATTGCATACGTCGATGAATCCCCCCCGAGGTCTTAAACCGTCACACAAATTGCAAGCCAGCCGGGATTGGGATTGTTTTGAATTATTACATTGGACAATAATAAACGAATTTTTACATAAATATAGGCTTATTAAATGCTTAATCAGCAGTTAAAAAAACAGAATAGGGGAAATGTTTGTATGAATTTGGATATAAAAGCAATTAGTCCTATTTAAGTTGATGCAGTCTTCCAAGGTGGAATAGATGTCGCATTGTGGGTCTGCCGTGAGGACAGTTCTGAAATAAATTAAAAAGGAATTATTCTTTTGATCGACATCTATTCATATAAAAAGAATTGCATTTAGAAGCTAGGTTTGGCACTTGCCCAGGGATGTTCCATTGAGCTCATATTAGAGACGATCTGTAAATTGAAATGTGCACAGTTCCATGAGAACACTGAGAGAAGTGATAGGTTGGAAAGCATGGAGACAGCGGAACTTACTCGATTCATCTGCTTGTGGTCGAGGGAGGTGCCAATCATCACAGCACTTCGACAGGCACGTGAAGCCAGAATATCACGAAGACGAGAGGGTCTGCAGTTTCTTGACTAAATCAATTTTTTTAAACAAGTTTTTGAACGATCGTTCTGTAGACAGTAATGCAGATCCGTGGCAATAAAGTATAATACCAAGGCACTTAAAGCTTTGTTTAAAAATAGGTGTCAACTTACCAAGCCTTCACATAATACAAAAAGCATTTCCTCGACATCTAAAAAAAAGACAAGTGAAATGAGTAAGTAGTTGAGCGAACTTAATAAACGCAAATTGACTTACCAGTGGGACCAAAAATTTTGCCCTCACTCATAGGCGCTGCCACTAGGCGAAATCGTTGACCCAATGGAGCTAAACAAGAATACAAGTGTATGAATAAACCAATAATAAGTGATATTGACAAACAACAAACAAAAAAAAGAAAATAAAAGGTAATACAGCTGGAGTAATGAATAGAATTTGAAAAAAAACTAATTCTTACAGTACCATACCGTAGTGACGATGGAATCTAACTATAGGAACAGTAAGACGTATATTTGTTGGAAATACATTTACCATTTTCATCAGCAGAAAAGACAAAACCAGACTTTGAGAAGACATCCATGTTTTCTTCCAATACATGTTCTTGAACGGCATTAAGGGTGAGCTGTTGGGGTCTAAATATTGCAGAATTATCGTTGAGTAAATGATAAACTCATACGCAACAAGGGGCTGGCTGGTGAATTCATGATTTGCACAGAGATTTTCATATCGAAATTTCTCATCACTCGCGTGCTGGTCCACAATAAAAAGATCATCTCGATATTGGCATATGATGAAACCTTTGTTGAACTGACCAATCACTCGCATATCCTTGAACCATTCTCTTCTAAAATGCGCGATTTAAGATATTTACAAGTGTATATTTCGGGTGGACATTTGATTATATCAACTTATGTTTCCTCTACGTCATCGAGTGCAGAGTTTATTGGCTAAAAAATAACTTACCGAAAGACAGTGGTTAACTCGGATTGAGCGGAGGAATCAGTGAGATTTGCATGAAATTCCCCAGTGGTTGGTATTTCCGGGGTTTCAGGAGATGATCCCTTTGATGTCCAGTATTTTAACAGACGTCCCAACGAGAAGTCAACTTTAACACGTTGGCGATTGAGCTGTGGCTAAAAGAGAATGAACTTGCTCAATGTGATTCCCTTCGTAATGAAGAACTACATCACAAATATCAGTAGTCAAAGACCCAAAACCCAATTTGCCAGGCAATCAATCAATGCCTTACATAGTTAACTCATATAAGATACAAGGAGTAAGATCTTTCATAATAAATAGAATGAATGTAACAGATTTATTACATCAAAGTCATTTAGATCACTTATAAACCATAAACCAGATTAACTCACCAAGCGATTGTCATAGCTCTTCCTTGCCGAGTTACCCGAGAACACAGGTCGTTGTGAAGTCAACGGAGTTGAGACAGGCGACACAACGCGAGGCCTTTTAGAACTCGGAGGTGACTGAGGGGGTTGTGATGAAGATGGAGGAGAGACCTTGATATGTTTTGAAAATAAAGGCCGTTGAATGAGTTGTTGGCTAGAATGGGACTCATTTTTTACACTGGAAGCAGTAAAACAACTCGACGGACTAGGAAGACCAGCAATGGACTGTTCAGCAGCCGGATCTGCGCATCCGAGAGTAGCAGTCAAAGCCGCTTTTAACTTCATTACCACCGCCTTTTCCCAGTGCAAAAGGAGCTGGCGTTTGTCAGGTGACAAATTAACGTCAACTTTCGCTAAAAGAGACGCGAAAGCTTAACAACGCCGACTAAGTAACTGAGATTTTTAACCCATGATCATGAATAAATAAACATAACCTCTACGCAGTAGTTCCGATTTTATTTCAACTAAACTAACTTCACTACAGGAATGTGCTAATCATGTTCTCCAATTTGGCAATAAAAAGCCCGTACACGAGCCAATTAGAAATTTAGAGAACCTTCTATGACTAGATGGTGAAAAAAACTAACATTTTGGCACTTCCACAAGAAGAATTAGTACTGGAAACGCTGAAGTAGTACTCCTCGATGGCATTCCAAGGCATTGGGACGAGGAGAGAAGGGACTCCCGACAACACCGTCGCCAGATATCTGTGGCTAGACGAGTGAATTGTGGAAGGTCACAAGGCCGACCATTAACACTTACAAACTGTCGGTCCCCTGAAGATCGGCCGGTGTTTTTGGAACACCCGGAAGTAGGAGGAGCAGATATAAAACCAGAAATTCTAACCAAGAATTGAAGAATTAAAAATTGATATTACTTTATGGCGTCAAGTTCTTCCTTGGAGAGCTTTACATTGTACTCCTCGATAAGGTTTTCGGAAATTAAGAAATCACTACGAATTTCTACCAAAGAAGTGAGCTGAGCTTGGCCATAAACAGCTGCAATGTTAGAAGATATAGACCTCCCAGCCATATTGGAAACAACAAGCGTTTTAACTCTAGATATAAAATTTAATTATATAAAAGCAAAGCCTACCCCTTCTTGTCAATTCGATAGCAAGAAACATTGACATCCGTTAACGAAAGGCAATAACTTGAGATGAGAGTAACAGCTTGAGCAAACTCTTTGGCTAAATGAGTAGCATCAGTTAAATGGCGTCTTCGAACAGGGAGATTATGGAAGAGCCTTTCAACACAGACTGTAGTTCCACGACTACGAGCTAACGGCCGACGAGATTTCAAATCTCCAGTGTTGGAAAATTCCAATCGAATACCAATTTTCGACTCTTCAGTTTTGGTATGAATTGAAACATCACTAGAGAGGTCATAAAAAATATTCAGAAACTTACGAAACTTGGCATAATGAGAAAAGGGCTTCACCTCGGAATCCAAATGAAGAAATTTTCGATATGTCATTGAAATCATGTATTTTGGACGTGCTATGGCTCTTTCCTAACATATTAACTTAAAGAATGGGACAAACCAAGAGTGTCGAAATCTGCCTCATTTATGCCTGATCCGTCATCTATAACTTCTATTAGATCGGATCCAAAATTTCTCAACTTTATTTCTATTGTTAGGGAAGAAAATAAATGAATGAACAATCGTACCGATCTTTTTAGCTCCAGCGTCAACAGAATTCTCAATTAGCTCTTTTATAGCAATCCCTAAAGTCAGCACAACCTGACTCGAGCAAAGTTTATGTATCGAATTGTTATCAAGAAGCTTTATACTCCGCATTTTCCAACAGTAAAAACCGTTAACACTGTACGAGCCGCCAATTCGATTACATAGCTAATGATGAATGCAATAAACATATTTGTAATATTCCTGAGATTAAGGGTATTCTTTAAATATTGTCAGTCTCAATAACTATTTAAATGCTTAACGATAAATATTTTTGTAGACAGTTTAACAGAATACGCTGTTTTCAATGGTAGGAATCATATATGAAAATTCTCAAACAATTGTGAACTAAGATAAATATTTTTGATCAAATTAGACCACATATTAGTTTCTGCTAATACCCACCTCTAAGTGCCCTTATGCCTTCAGTGCATATAATAAATAGCTTCAAATTAATATCTTAATTACCAAAAATAAGTCCCGCTTAATATAGCAATAGGAGTGATATTAAAATGATGAAACTATTGAGATATGAATGATACGTAGTGGAGCAGTTACAAGTACGAAAGGGTATTTACGAGTTTTAAACTAAGCAGGGCGTTAACTTATAGCTTTGAATCAAATGCTAATGATGGCTTCAAAGCTGATAGAAACTCAAATATCGCAGGAATTGCATTGTAAATCTGCGTATTTATAGGCTAACACAAACGGCCACTCAATAAAATCAAACAATTTTCATGTTTGAAAAACTCATACTCATTTCCAGACTGGAGTACCTGAGCGCCTCTTTTATTTATTTTAATTTAAGAATTCCAACTATGTAAGATTATGAAAACAAAATGGGATCGGTTTACATATTTAGATTTTTTCGAAGGTTCGTTAAATTGCATATTCAATTTGATAGAAATAACTAGATAAATCCGAAGCCTATCATTTCATACGGTATAAATGACAGATTAGGGTAAATATTTGACCTTCAAATAGGTTGCTATGGTTTCAATAAATTCTCATGCTTTAATCTCAACAGCTGATTGCATTTGCTATCACACTTCGTCCTTAAAGTCGCAACAAAATAAATGGCATCAGGAATATTAAAGCTTAGCCATGCCTTTGGATTTCGAACTGGCGTAAATAATTCGATACTATCTAAAGATGATCGCACAATAATATATCCTTGCGGATCAAATATTGTGCTCTTTAACCTTGAACGAAAAAGTCAAAAATTCATATCTGGATTAGAAAAGAGTAATGGAATGTCATCAATGGCTATTAGTCCAAATCGTCGCTACCTAGCGCTAGCTGAGAAAAAGAAAGAATGTCCATGTATATCTATTTATGATCTCGCATCACTTAACCGTGTGAAAATACTTCGAGGGATTGGCCTTAACACAGATGAATTTAAGAGCATAGCATTTTCACCTGACTCTACTTACTTGATTGCACAAGGTGGTGAACCTGGTTGGGTTCTGACCTATTATGAGTGGGAAAAAGCCAAAAGAATTGCATCGGTCAAAACCTCGCAGTTTAATCGAATTTATGATGTATGTTAAATGGTTTAAAAATACTATTTCTCCATAAGGTGTCGATTAACCCATATGACAGCACTCTAATTTGTGTGACTGGAAAGGAGACATTTCGACTATACAAATATAATGATGAATTTATTAAACCCGTTGGTCACTCTCGTGTCGACAGGCATAATATTCGATGCCATGCTTGGATAAGTGACGATCGAATTGCAATTGGAACGGTTGAAGGAAAGTTGTTATTGATTAAGAATGGTGAAGTGCTTGAGGAACATACTATCGTTCCTCCTGTACCAATAACATACGAGGAGTATGTAGCTGTATTTAAAATTATTACTTAAATTTTAATAGTAGCGTTATTTATCACTCCTATATTTACTTGAATTAGGAGCTCTTCATCGTCGATTAGCTCAGATGCCGTTTTGGAGGGTGTAACAGCAATCGCAGCTGCATCAAACTTTATTTTTGTGGCCTGTGCACAGGGTGCTGTCCATTGCTATAAGTATAATCCAAACGCTGATCAGTTACGTCGTCGTAGACGAAGATCCATTGCAAACTCTGATGATACAAAAAATCAATTATCATATTATAATTGTGTGAAGCAAATTCGCATTCCAAATGATCGTAAACTGAATGATGGTTCTGACGATTCAAGCAAATGGATTATAACCCAACTTTGTGTAAATTTTCTTGACGAAATTAATCATCTGTTTTTAGATTACTCCATCGGAAGAGATTCTAATTGCGGGAACAGAGTCTCATCAGCTTTATTACTACGATTTATCCTCTGAATATGAAGTGCAAGAAACCATGGCGGAAAATGAAAATTTTGAACAGATAATGGATGATCGGCCCGTTGAGAAATCGAAGGAAAGCGAATCACAATCTGAACCCGCCCTCAAGATTGATTATTTCCGACAATTAGCTCAGTCGTTTCACGAGGGTCAAATAGTAGGCCTCGATATCTGTACGAGAAAACCACTTATTGCAACTTGCGCAACTGATAATACAGTGAGAATATGGAACTTCGAAACTAAGTGAGCTATCATAATTGATAATACTTCGATGATAATCATATCATTTCGATACTTTCATGCACATAATCCATTTTGCAATGAAAGTTTTTCAAAACTTGAGGCATTGAAACGGATCTCCCTTTCATAAATCTGAATTTTTAAGAAGGAATACATAATTATTTTCTTGTTTTAATTTGCTTATTGCAATTGTGAATTATGAAGACATGATTACAAAATGAATTGGCAGAGCTTAAAGCACCGATGTAGTTGGCGACCTAGCAATGCTTTGATCTCTCCTATAATGTTGAAGTTATTAGAATGAACCATTTCATTAAAACTGGAAAATTAGTTTGCCGACATGGTTGAGTGAATTTGCGTGCATAATACTACAGGTTGTCAGGCAAATCATCTCCCAAATATTGAAATTGTGCAAGTTGGAGCAGCAAAGGGGATGGAACTTAGCGCCACTAAGCTGCAGACCTTTGCTTTTTGATCCAGTTTACAAATTGAAGTTGGTCGGTGCACTGTAAAATGACAAGGAGATAATCAGGGAAACAAGAGTTAGGTTGAAGGTGGAGTCATGGCAGCAATGACGTTAATTGTGTAATTTGAGGGAAATCAGCCAGGGGATTTTTATGTACTGTCTTCTAATCTTAATTTCATCTTTTTTCTTTCCTTTTCAATAGTGATCTTGATTTATACAAAGAATTTCCAGAGGAGGCCTACAGTATAGCACTTCATCCTCTCGGCCACTTCATTTTAGTAGGCTTCAGTGACAAGCTGCGACTATTGAATCTCCTAATTGACGATATCCGAAGTTATAAAGAGTTCCCCATCCGAGGTTGCCATGAGGTAAACTAATCGTTGGACATGACATTAGGGACTCTAACTTGTCAGGTTTAGTTTAAAATTCACTTCTGTATGGAACCCTTAGTGTGCGTTTAGCAATGGAGGTCACCTATTTGCGGCCGTTCAAGGAAACAACATTCTTCTCTATTCCGCCATAAGTTTTCAACTCCTCAATACACTTAAAGCTCATAATGGGAAGATTCGATGCATACTGTGGAGTTCAGATGACAGCAAGTTGATATCCTGTGGTATGGATGGTGCAATTTACGAATGGGACCCTTACACAGGTAATTAATAATTCGAAATAAGTTGTAAAATCAATCAATTTCACTTTCTCCATCATCTTTATAGGTAGAAGAATAAGTGAAAATGTCATGAAATCTTGCAGTTATACAAACGTTACGGCTTCTGAAGACGGTAAGATGATCTACGCTGTGGGTTCAGATAGGAAATTGAAAGAGGTCACTGATTCAACAGTACGTGGCAACTAAAGCATTTTTTACAAAATTATTCTTAAAACAAAACTTGATAATCTATCCTCCTTAATACAGATAGTCCAGAGCATAAATTCCGCGGATATGCTACTCACAACCGTCGCACTCTCTCGTAATGGCAAAATGCTCGTTTGTGGTAGTCAGGATGGCCACGTACGATCCTACAAGTACCCCTTCACGGATAAGCATGTTTGGGATGACTATGTGGGTCACAGCGGTCAAATTGTGAAGATGAAAATAACTCTGAATGATGAGTACCTGGTCACTGTTTCAAGTGACAGTACCGTCATGATATGGTCACTTCAAGAGCGACACGCCAGAAATGTCAAAATTGAGAAAGAAACTGCATGGGCTGAGGAAGTCCTAGTTATGCGGTCAGATTTGGCAGAAAAGGTTAGCTCTTTTTCCCCAATATTCAGACTTATTGTTTAGTAGACAAGAGAATATTAAGCTTTATGCTGGTGTTTGTACTGGGCAATTTTTCAAAATGGGAATTTGCTGTTCCCGTAGTGCTTTTTTTGTAAATTAAAGATTTCCTAAACTGTTTAAGAAAGCCGAATTTCTGTCACTATGATCTGTCTACCCAAAGATATTGCGTGACTACAGTGAATAGATCCGGAGAGATAATAAACTAAACATAGGTTGTTTATAAAGACCAATCGCCAACGAATAATTGACTCTAAGGATTGAAACATCGCTAGAAAGTGAACAGTTTTCACCATTAGCTGCAAATTCGTTAGGAGAGGTGTGGGTCCACATAGTGGTAAAGATTATGGACCCACTAAGAGGCCATATGTTTGAATTGCTTGCCCGAGACAATGCAATAACTCTCTGGCTTTGTGCCTTATTTATCAGCCTCAGAGAAATTGCATTTTCTTTCAAGTTTCTGGCATCTGGTAGGGTAGCGCTGGGGCTAACTCGATTGCGGAAGATAATTTGCATTCTTCGTTTATAAAAATAAATGCCCTTACGTCTTACAAATAGCTATTAATGCTTCGATAAATAAAATTACTCTTTATTTATTGCTCGAAATCTTGCAAACTAAATAGAATTTCTGGTTATCATTGGCTCATACAGGCACATACACTCTCCCACATCCTATACCGATAGGCAACTTAGATAATCGTAATTTTTTTCATAATACTCCTATTCCAAAGAGCCTATTTTTGTTATATATATATATATATATATATATATAGATTTAGGTAGAATATTTATTCTAGCGCTCCTATCATTTAGAAATGCTCCGGAAATTGATGAGGGGATGAGGGAAAGTTCTTGAAATAAAATTTGTGCCTATTTGTGAAAAGGAGCTAAAAGTGTGCTTAAAGTTTTAAATCAATATGCCTATGAGAATATTAGCATATTGCGAACAAACGCCAAAAATTAATTCTGATCAATTCTGATTGGGTGCTAGAACAATTTTGTTTTTCTTGTGGTACTTTTTGATCTTATTTATCGGGAAATCTGTCATGTTTTTATTATGGATTATTTAAGTACCTGAGAGAAGCCTTTTCTTGTTTTATATTATTCTGTGCATTGATATTTGCAAGATAAAAGGCACACGAAAAGGAACGAAACATTAATGACTTCAAGACAAAGTGAGGCGTCACTTCTTGGTACTCAAACATTTCAATTGATGTACGAGACTAGCGTAGTTTTTTTATTGAGTTGAAATGACGGTACCAACTTGCCTGCCTCATACCTTCTCCTCCTTTTTAAAGACGCATTATCAAGGGCTTGTGATGTCCTTTGATCGTCAATTTTATTTTAGTGGAAAAAAGTGTTTTTTGGGAGAAGTAGAAGGAATATTTGAGTACTCTGACTCATCCTGACTCACAATGCCAATCAAAAGGGAAAACATTTCTAGAGACTGAAAACAATATGCTGAGACAAAGCCAGAAGGCTAATATGAAAGAAAAGTCGGAAATCCGTATAAAGGCGAACTTCTTTTGTGCATTTATCAAACTGAAAATTTTTTTGTGACCTAATTATCTCCAAAATAAAGACCATACCTCAAGTCAAAAAAATAGGGAGTTAAGAAAACTAAAGCTATATTTCCGAAATTCTGAGAATCCACGACCCTGTAATTTGCTCCCACTTAAACAAATATGCCAAATGTAGGAATAATTAACAGTAGAATGTTAATTTATTATTTTCGCCTGGTTGAAGATTCTTTCTTTTCTTACACAAATTCCTTCTCAAGTGCCACTGTAAACAGTTTGGCTAACTCGAGTGGTGAAGACATCAGATGTTGCTGCCTAGTCTTCATGACACTCTTTTAAGAGAAAGTTAAGAAAATCACAAAAATAACTTTTCCTTGGAAAGTTGGGTTTATTTTTTGGAAGTTGTGTATCGCCTAACTGATTTAAAAGACTGAAATGCGCAATAAAAGTAACCATCATTCTTCAAAATCATTTCGCCAATTTGGTTAAAGTTAAAACCGCGTTGACATGAGTCAGTCTCCTAAAATTATTTTTTGGAGGAATATTCCACCGCTTAAATGTCGCCAATAATTTTTTTGATCAAGCACATATGGTTGATTTCAAATTGCTAATACTCTGGCAGTTTGTTGGCTGAAATAGATACGTTGATATTTTCCCGAATATCTCACAGCCACTCCGTTTTTTGCCGTTTTCCCGAAAAATTTTTACTCTGGAGTATTCGCTCTCCCTCCAACACTGTAATTTTTGTTACAAAAGTGCTAACTATAGGCTTTTTTGGTAGCTTCTTTTACATTGTCAAAAAATGGTGATACTTGCCTATTATAGGATTTTGCAATGCAAGAACTAAGAGCTCGAGTGGATGAGCAGAGGATGGAAAATGAATACCAGCTTCGTCTAAAGGACATGAATTTCAGTGATCGGATTAGAGAGCTCACTGATAAATTTCTCCTAGAAATGGAATCCCTACGACAGAGAAATCAGCTTCTTCAAGCTGATAAAGACCGGGAAGAATCACGATATAGCGATGAGAAACAGGAGATCATGAGACTGCATGTTCAAGAAGTTAAAAGTCTGGAAGCTGCGAAGATTCAACAACTCGCTTTGGAGAGAGAAAAGTACTCGGAATTTCAAAAGGAGACTAAGAGGATGCAAAAGGCTTATCAAATAAAGATTGATGAATTAACAACTTTGAAGGAACAAGCGATAATAGATCTGAAACTCTTTTTCGAGGCAAAATTAGACAGAAAATTGGAAGAAATAGGTGATTTGAAGAAAGAGAATCGTGAACAAGTTACAGAATTTGAATTCACTAAGAGGTTACTTGAGGAAGATGTCGATAAGGAGATTTTGGGCTTGAAGACAGATTATGAACAAAAACTGCGAAAAGAACGGGAACTTGTGGCCCGACACCAAGGAGAAGCGGGCATAGCGAAGAAGAAATGTGAAAGTCTTCAGAAGGAGATCGACGAGCACATAGAGGAGCTGAAGAAATCCCAACGTGAAACTCATAAACTTAATGGTGTGATTAAGAGCCTAGAACGAGATTTATCAGGGCTGAAAAAGGAAATTCAGGAGAGAGATGAAACAATTCAAGAGAAGGTAAGGCTTATGCGCTCTTAGAAATCGATATCAATAATACTTATTTATATCAAATGGCAGGCTTTATGATAGATATAATTGGCCCTCTGGCTGATTTCGGGCTTCACAGAGGGGAGGCACATCAAGGTCGAGGAACAGAAGAGTGGATCACAGATGTACAAGAGACAGACACAATGGTAGAGAAAAAGGCAAGGTGAGAACTGTGGTAGTTGTCGGGCCATGGGAATTTGGAGTTAGAAGTCAATTTTCGGTTTATAGACTTTTTAGACGTATGAGAAAACGTTGCCCAGGGTGCACCACGTGAAGGTAAGTCCATCGCGCACCCTATATCATTAATATAAACAGTTTGAATTGCTACCATAGCTTACTATACAAGTATTGATTAGCTTGCGAAAAAGGACAGACGAAACTGTTTAGGGCTTTGTTCATCTTCAAAAGAAAACAATAAATAGGCATTGTGAGAGCATACTCTATAAGTCAGTTAAAGTAGATAGTAAAATTAATTTGAACAAAATTTGGAGGCTAAGAAAACTTAAAAAAAATGCCATGGTTAATTAAATGATATCTGCTTGGATTTTTGTAGGAAAAGAGAATTTACGACTTGAAGAAAAAGAATGAGGAGTTGGAGAAATACAAGTTTGTCCTCTCCTACAAGATAACTGAATTAAAGAAACAGATTGAACCGCGCGAGAGTGATATACGTAAATATAAGGAGCAAATTCAGGAGGTAAGTTGGTCATTAGCACGACATTACTAACACATAAAAACCGCTATATACTTGTACATGCACACGAGAAGAAACCTAGCCCCCATGGAGGCGGGGATAGAGAATGAGGGGGTGGGTGGACAGAGATGTGAGATGTCACGCGCACGGAAGCCAGGTTGGAGGAGTGAAGGTATGGGGAGTGGGTGGACCAAAGGTGGAAATGAGTAATCTTTCAGTATTTTCAACCGGCTGTGTTTTTTTAATGATTCACTTACGTATGCCACGCGATGAGATGTTATAGAGATAGAAGTTTGAAGGGGAGAGGGGGGGGGTGAGGAAGGGGGAGGGAGAGAAGACTTGTAATGGGGACAGTCAACTAGTTGCGCTTGACAGATGTCTGTTATTTGGTCACTTATTAAGGTAACTAACCTACTGTTCTCCTTTCAGCGGGAGAAGCAATAATTGTAGGGGTGAAGTTGAAGAGGACATATGGGGCTGAGGTTTATCCTCCTTTGACAATTTCCTACCAGCGATTAGATTGTCGAAAAATGGAGTCAACATCACCTGCTGAGAATCAAAAATAGTTCATTCACCTACTAGATCTTCTTACAAATTGTCTGAGTTTGGAGCGACTGCGGTTTATGCATACAGCTGAATAAATATATTGCTGTTATTATAATTACTCATGACCAGGAGAAATCGACGATTTTTATTTATGGGAAATTATCCAAACAGGACAAATTGGCGTTTATGGCTTTTAGAAGTTAGGCGATTTATGACAAGCAGTTTTAGCTATTACTGAGGCACTGTTTGGTTTATGACTTTTAATGCGCCTCTTAGCAAAGATGATGCTGCTTTCGGAGATTTTCCTTTATTTCAGTAATTTTTCCCATGACAAATTAAATTAAAAATTTATTATTAATCTTCCATAAAATATGCATATTTGTTAATATGTGCTAAACTGTAAAATCGCAATTTTGCCTAATCTTGAAGTGTAGTCAGCCTTTGCAACGTTGACATACTCATTTCAACATCAGTTCATATTAGATTCTAACATGAATAGTGCCTCCAAGAATGCAAAATAAACTTAGAAATGCGAACATTGAATGCCTATTTAGACGCGCAGGTGGTTGATGTAGGTAACTCACAATAAATGCCAATTTTATGGTACCTGGTGATAATATTGCAATAATTATTTCGATATTTCTGTCTACTGCAAGAATTTCCTGCTTCTCCAAAATGCTGTCCATAAATGGAAATGTTTATGCCATAGTCGTGGTAAAAATCCTGCTGACCGCAGCACTTTACAAATACCCACAAAAGGTTACCAATTTGTCTGACTTTTGTGAAAATATCCTCCTTCCTAGTTCTTTTTCTTCCTTAAGTCAAAAGCAATGCTCTTTCAAAGCAAGTTTTAAATGAGCAAATATCCAACTTGTTTTTTTTTATAGATGGAAGGCGAATTAGAGCGTTTTAATCAGCAAAACAGTGCGCTAGAACTAACTATTGAAGAGCTAAAAGAAAAACTTAAGGCCACATTGGTTGAATTGAAGAGTGAACGTGATATGAGAAGAAATATTTACATTACTGTCAAACGTTTTCGCACGGATATCTTTAATGTTGTTGGAAAAATACAAGAACCCAAGGCCCTCAAAGAAGGTATTCTTGAACTCTACCGAAAACACATTCAGAATGACATGGTAAGCTTGGAATAAATTAAAAAAAGCATTTTTGGATGAATTTAAAGCTAAATGATTATCTAAGTAAATGGTTTTAATACTTTGTTTACAGACGATTTCTTGTTTCTTACTTATCATATTAGTGTTTTTTACTTCTCCTTCTTTCGTAAACACAATTTAGCTGCCTCTAAATTCTGTCGAGGTAATTGAATTGTTGTGTTTTTACTTTTCTCGTTAATTTGTTGTTTGTTGGCCCAAATTCCTCTTCGTTATACAACGTTCCTCCATTGCGGTTAACTTTTTTTCCCAGATTGTCTATCTCAATTATAGACAGCCAATTTTTCTTGTAGTACTGTTTTTTTTGCAAAAGTTTCAATAACTTCTATTTTAAACAATGGTCCAGTTAAGGTCAATTTTTGTGCTGTTTTAGTAGGCCATTATCAAATTAGTGCGCTAATAGGTGGGCGTTTTGTGAGAAAAGGCTTAATCAAGTCAAAATATGACTACTAAATGGAAATATAAGCGTTTAAAAATTTGTTTCACGAGTTTTAACTGAATTAAATTTGTAAAAAATTCAAATTCGGTCCCACGAACTCGGCCTTTATTCCAGTTACGATTTTTTAAGTTTTTGCGCTTAATGTTATTGGTGTGCGCGCGCTCAAATTTAACGCCCTAACGATTTTGAAAAAAGGGAGCTGCCATTATTTTGAAAAATTATTATTATTAAATGAAAATGGAAATTTAAAATTTATAGGGGGAGTGTGAAATATTTTGTTTGATTAGCATTAGTGATATTATGAGGTTAACACTGTTGATAAAAGTATAAAAGCGGGGCTATTGACAAAGGTTGACCCAGAGAAAGTTTTGTAGAGCTGTTTCACCGACAAACTTACATTCTACAGCCTCGGTTGGGTATATTTCATTGATTCTTTTGGACATTCACATTACTGTGTGTGCCACTGAATATCAATCTCATGTCAACTCCCTTATTTACAGAAGTGAATTCTAGGTGAAGGTAACTGAACAAATCTTCCTATAAAATAAGCCAAACGAGAAAAAAATCTTGCTCTTTCCAATTATTCTTACCTTCCAATCCTTGGAATTATGCAAAAAAGTTGCCCAAATTTTGGGGCGAAAATGTTTCGACCAAAGATCCTATCAATGCTTTACATGATTGAAATTTATCAACGGCTATTCAAACTGAAATAATAAACTGGTTTTATAAGTCTTTGATGCAATTGGCTTCTATAATATTCCCTTTTAGTACCAGTTAAAATCTTACAAGACTGGCAGGCTATTCCGAGTTTTGTCTAGTAATGCAGAAAAAAACCGTATAACATGTTGCTAATTGGTGCAAACACGGCCTTTTATTACCCTTGTATTTAACGATATTGATTGCCCATTGGCTTCCTTTATGCTCTTCATAATTCCTGTCCTGCTAATATACGCATATGTAGTTAATTAATCATTCAGTTTTATTGTGCAATTTTTACTTTATTTCATGTTTTAAAATGCCAGTGAGATAGATTACGGAATATTTGCATGCATTTTCTATGATTCGCTAAGGAATGATTTAATACCTCAATTTTAGTGAGGTAAAAATGTCATAATTTTGCCATTTTCACTGTTTGAAATTTTTTTTCTCATTATGACCGTCATCATTTTAGCTACTCTAATCTAAATATTCATACCAGGCTGATAAACGACAAATCAACAGAGACGTTGGTTCACATAAACAGTTGCGTGGGATATACAAATCTAAGATTAATTATTTCTCCTCGTCTTTAATCCACCAACGGGCTCCTTCGTAAATGTTTAATTACCCTGGTCAAGTATTTCATTGAAGAAATCACAAAGAAACTACTAAGTGGGAATTCCATTATCCGAACTCACTCCTAAATCGATGGGGGTAACAATTAACTTCAATTGTCCCATTTTTTTTGCCTAGTCAACCTCGAGCAGGATGACAAGTGTACCTTAATGAGGTTGTAATTAGCACATCTCCGACATCCCAGCCACCACTAGGCCTTGACAGATGGGTGGAAAAACCACATTGTGTCTCCCTCACACGCTTTCTTGTTCCGCTTGTAGCACTGGGATAAAGCGAACAGCTACTGAATATTCATTACCCCTGCGTCAATTACTCTGCGTGCAAACGTGTGTATGTGTACAGAAAAAGCACCTGCTTTGCGTCAAAATTTGCTGCTGAAACTTTAGACAAAAAAGCTCATTAGCACTAGTGACACTGGCGAATGAGCTGGAGATTATGGTTGATGGGTCGGAGATGGGAGGTTGGGGGGGGGGGGAGGGAAGATGCTTGACAGGGACTGTCGGTCGGGGGGAGGGGTTAGACAGGTTACATATTAGTCGTGTGAGATTACTGTTGTTTAAGTTAAATGGTGTGCGTGTGAAAGAGAGATTCCATCGATTAACTGCAGAAAGAAGCAGATGGCCACTTTGTTTGTTTGAAATTAGTAGACAGCGTCATTAAAGTGTTGCAGTGAAGAAGAGATGACTGTCGTTCATTCGCTTGTTACCTTTTACTTGTCGTAGACAAAGACTGCGAGTATCATACGCCTTGTCTCTTTAAAAGGCTTTAGATTTAATATGTTTCTGACGCTTAATTTTTTGCATTCAATATCTTCAAGACTTTAGTTAATTACAATACTCTCTATTATTAATTGATTCAAGTCCTTTAGCAACTGACCATTTACACTGTTTTTTTTACTTAAAAGATTTGAAAATACTGTAAGTATAGAGATTGTATGCTGCTTATCTTTGTTCGTTAATAGAGCATCGGACATATGATTGTATTTAAGTTTTTTTCAGGAAGAAATATTCTCAAATCCTTTTCCTGTTCAGTAAATCTTACGGTAATATAGAAAATTGATATGATTCAAATGGGCTACTTAAAAAAACTTTTGACTTCTGCCTATCAAGTCAATACTTTTGCAAAAATGGCCTCGCCAATTTTGCAAAAGTAACCTACCTTTTTCCATAAATTAAAAATAAAGCAACATTGTTTTCTGTACAACACAATTTGACTTTTTATTTTGGAAACGGAATTGAGAGAATATTTTACCCGGGGTTTGAAGTTTCCATTTGTCTGGATTGAAGAAAAAATATATATGCGAGCATTTTTGTCGTTTTAAAGTTTTAATAAAGTTCTGATCTGGGAATTTATCATCTACCGCCAAGGTAGTCTGTCATCGCATTTGAAATTGAAGTGGCAATACCTGAAGATTTTGATACTCATCGACCTTACATAACATTAGTGTCTTAGATAAGTAGAAAATTTTGTTTTCATTTTGACAACAATAGCATACAATCGGATACACAAAGTTTCTTTTTTGGAATAGTCTATAATAAAGAAAACCATAGTCTGCGTAAACTTAACACCTAATAAGTTAAAAGTAAGCTATTATTTTAATACTAAATAATGCTATTTCATAATTATATTGTTAACTTAAATTTAAAAGTCGTAAACATTGTATCAGTAATTAAGTAAACTCATAAGTAAGCCATAACCCCCACCCCTCCCGCGGTCAACATCGTAAACTCACAGTGCCGATGGCATGTCTAGTAACATAACAGCAAAGTGTTGTTACCTTGTCAGAGTTACCTGTTTTTTCCTGACATTGACGGTCTTTGAACAAGCGTCTCATTAGGGTCAAAGTCGGGGGGGGGGGGGGGGGGAAGAGAAGGAGAGGAAGAAGATGAAAGATCAGACACAATCTAGATAAATAGGCGTCTGAGAACTTTTGCGTGATATGCGTGTATTCGCTATTCTCCTGTCCTCTTGAAATTGCCACTTTTTCGCGCTCTGTTGATTAACATGAAAGTTGTATGGATTTTCGTTTGTTGTTGGGGCGAAACGGATGACTAGATTTGAGAGAACGTAGCTGGAGTTCCTCTTACATTTGCGTATAGTCGACTTTTCTTAGGCTTTTAAAGAGCAGAATTTGGAGTCTTTACCATTTCACAACTATTTTGTTCATTTTACGTTTGAAGAAAGCCTATGAAAATTAACATTGAAGTCACAACGTTTTTCTTTCTATCAAGATGACAAAAATATTGTCACAACGATTGCGGTTATCTTTACTGTTAACTTCAGGAAAACGACTCACGTTCGCATATACTGTTCTTGTTGAGTGAATACTGTGTCTTGTAATAACTGCCCTTCAATCGTATCTCTACCCAAAAGTGAGTCAATTGCACTGAGGTATAAGCAGCTGAATCAGCATATTCTAGAAGTGCATTTCCATTGTTGGGTTGGATAAGGAAGAATAAGAAATAAGTGCAAGGATTTTGTCTGGAATGGTTCCTTGTTGCTATTAATAACCTGTCTTCCTCTTTGGACACTTCTGAACTGTGATTGGTCGTCCAGATAGATCGGTGACTGGTTTTAAAGTCAACTGTTCCACCGAATTCACAGGCACATTTGTTTTTCATACTCTTTGTTATACATTTAAACAAATGCTTATTTATTTTAAAATAAATAGAAGAGAGGGTGCATCATAGATTGATTCAATTAGTAAAATTTTGTAGTTGAGCCAGTTTCATTTTTGTAGCTATGTTTGTACTTTTGAAGTGATGTTTTGTGCAAGTACTAAGATTCACAGCTTCGAGTATTGTGTTCTCTTTAAGCAGGTGGCTTAAACCTTAAATCCCGGTTTGTTTAAAGGTAATGCTACAATAAATTCGAGAAAAGAAATTATAATATCAAAATTTTCGGCTTTATTTGAACTAGAAATTGTAGGGAGGGGGGACGGGGGAGTTTATATTCTTTTGTGTCAATAGCTCAGTTATAGTTCCCGCGCCATCCCTTTCCTACAGACTGCCTCCATCGGCAATTTCTTTGACAGTTCTCTAAGAAGCGCGGCATTTGCAAAAAAGGCCCTTGGAAAAATGACATTGGTATCCTCTTTACAATCTGGAAAAAGCATAGATTTTAAAACATATATTTGACTGTTGTAGAGGCGATTTTTTGTTTGAAATTCCTCTGAGTCCACCTATTGTGCTATGCTAAAAAGGAGGTTTTTGATTATCTACAATTTGTTTGTACAAGCTTTTTGCCTACTTATTGGTCGATATTTTCTCTCGATGAATTTAATTTTTAGAGGCGGATTCTTAAGGAAAAATTTTATCAGTGTATCGTTTATGTAATAAAATCCGGGGGTTTAAAGGTCATCGTTTCAATATATCGTCCAGAACTGAAATGATTTAAGAATTAATAACTAAGAAGAGTTCAATTTTAAGCTAATTTAGCAATCTTCATGGTATGGTAATATCAGAGGAGATCAAAATCTTCTCTCTCTCTCTTTGCAAGAAACTGAGCCCGTGAAAATAAGAAGGCAAAGCTAAATGAAGTTAAGATCGATTCCCGAAATATAAATTTTGAAATTTGACGTTATAGGCTTATATCAGATGATTAGTGCCACTAACTAAAATGACCAATATCCTATTACTGATGGTCGGTAAGATGTCCGTTTTCAAAATTGTACACGAGTTACAAACAAAATAATGCAACAGATTATTGATAGCAAAATAGATAGTAATATATGACTGTTAACTTAGCTAAAATGTTACTTTTGACCAACCACAAGCCCAAAATGAAGTAAGGAGCTGGCTATAGAAATAAGTTAAATTAGATTCCATGGTATATATATATATATTTGAATAAAAATTGGCACCAGGACACTGGAGGCCTTTAGTAACGGGGTGTAAAATGCATTGGCCGGTCATTACGGTCATCAGATTAGGTTGAATTCAGATTCATACACATGTTATGTCCAAGCTTCGATGCTGGTAACACTACAGTTCAATTCGGGGGTAATTTTTTTGCCGAATCTCTTTCTTACTGTATGACAGCTGCCAATTTAGAGATCACAACATGAAGGTTTCTCGGTACACTACAAGCGTTACTAATAACCTGTCTTATTAATTAATTTTGTTCAACGTGAAGGGTCATAGAAAATAACCTTCCTATAAGACCAACTTCTTGCTTCCCTTTCTAATCCCAAATTTAAGGTGTGTCAAGGCTTTCCACCATGATATTGGGTAGTTCTTCCTCTAATATTTACGATGTCAGGCATAATTGCAATCATTAATTTGAAGACTTGACATCATTGAGATTCAACTTAGTTGAATTTTGAAGGAATAAATGAGCGTGTTTTTCTAAGAGGTATGTTAACTCAAGGTCATTATTTTTTAAATTAATCAATCATATAATTAATGAAAGGAAAAAATTATCATTTGACTAGCCCAAAAGGGAAAATATAAATGCAATAAAATTTTAATTCAATTAAATTGTTTTGTTTTTTAATAGTACTGGGACAAAGGCAAGAAGTTTCTTTTGAGTATTATTAACATTTTAGAAATGGAATCGGATATGGAAAACACGATTTAATGAAAATTTTAAGGCTAATTAAATGAAAAGGAAATTGTTCATTAAATTTACATCTGAATAGTGATTGCAATAGAGGAATGCAGAGAATGCGACAATACAGATCGGCAACACCGATTTCCCTCTGTTTTCAAAACTTGATATCACAAATTTTTTATTCTCAAATGGGCATGAGAGAATTTAATGTTTGGATGGAAATTTATCTTAAACTAGTACAACAATCATAAAGGTAGCCGAAAGATCCATCTAAAACCTTAGATTCGAAAAATATTTCATCAATCATAAGAGGTGCCAGAATGTCTTCATGGTTAGCTGATTTCCCTAATAGACAATTAAAAATCCTTATCGTTCGTCGTATCCTCCATCAGCGGCCTTTAATTATGGAATAACTGAAATTGCATATTACCATACATTCATTTCATCCGATTGAATCGATTGATTTTCGCTTCAAATTCATTTCAATGCCAAACACTAAACATTTCCCGTATTTGGATGAGGGTAATTTATTCTGTTGAGGGGTCTAAAGGCGATTCGTCCTGTTTATGTGTTAGTTACACTTTAAACTTCATCCTTTTTTCCATTGAGTTGCGTTATATTTTTGTGGAACCTTTTCCGGATACCTTTCCGTTAGCGTTTACGTGAGAAAATGCTGCAATCAGATCACCTCAACATCCATTTTCTTAATAGCGAATTGTTATTATCAGAATTTTTTCACCATTTTTAGTTCCCACGTTCTAAGCCTTGTTAATTATGAAAGTTTGGTTCCTCCAATTTGAGCATCTGAATTGTGAACCTATTTTGCGCGCAATTACTCGTGTTTTTCCTTTTAGTCTTCTGAAGTAATGCTTGCCGAAGAGATGCAACGTGAGTTCTCTCGTCAGAGAGATCATCTTGAACGTACTCTCTCTGGAGTCCGCAAAAAACTTGCCAAAGATACCGCTCTTCACAAAAGCGAATTCATTCGAGTCATGCATGTAAGCTCTAATTTATCCCCTTTTAAAAATCAATATCGAATCAAAGTGACGATTTTTAGAAAGAGGACAATTTAGCTTTTACGATTGCGAATTACTGAGGGGAAGATGAATTTAAAAGGTGTAGGTCTGGAAATAAAATGCCTTTGTTTACCACGCGTTAATATTTTATTTGATGATTTTACAAGTGTGAGTTACCATTAGCTAAATTTAAGCTTTTGTTTAGTTCAATTCGGCGCGTTTTTTTCCTGAAGAGTTATAAGCAGTTTTTCTCATGTTTAAGCATTCATCCCAACAGAATTTCAGTTTTTTACAGACAATTAGTCAACAAGTAGCAAAGTAGGTACCCATGGAGAAGTGAAATAAAAAATAAGGCGTTTCTCACAGTCCTACAGTGACAGAAATGGCGATTGATCTTTTTTTGTTTAAATAATTCACATAAACAAACTAATCAAAGCGTGAAATGACCGGTGCAGTTTTAAGATGTATATACTGGCATAACAATATTTAAACATTTCTGCCAATGTTTAACCCATCGTTTCGAAGATTCCCGTCACACGATGTTTCAAATAAATTCTTTCCTCATAAATGTGAAGAAATAAGATTAAGCGTCTGGTAGAAAAAAGGGTTTACGTCGATTTATTCAATTAAATTAGAAGTAATTTAGAATTTAAAAATAAAAATGGTGATTTGTTAACAATTTTACTTAATTAAATTATTATCTATGTATCTATGTGCCCATAAGTAGGGTAATAAAGGTTTTTAAAGATGGTCGATCGAAATGGCAAATATTCTCCTCTAATTTTAGAGATGGAATATTCTGAAATATTGCCCTTATTGGAAATAAGTGATTTCTATACTCCAGAGAAAGAATAATTTACTATTTAAATTACAAATAAAACTCGATAGAGTGGCATAATATATATATATATACAAATGGTTAAAAAAGGTTGTAGAACATATATTGACTAGGATTGTCGGGAATGGATATTGTCTATGAATGAGACAACTGACAAGTGCACGCAGAAGTTATTTTGACTAAAAATGAGCAACATACAGACAGACATGAGATGACTGCATGTATTATTAATAAAAGGACAACATGTATATGCAATGGCACATTTTTGCATTAGTTAAAAAGCGGAAAGGCGTTTCTATGAATAGGATAAAATAGAAAAGCAGACAAATGTGCTATATGCCATTTTATTTATACTAGACCATCAAAACACACCCGATGAGAGTGCAATATTAATATATATATTTGAAATTTTGTCTTTTCCATTTTAATGGCATTAAAAATCTCTCTAATGGAGAGTTATAGACAGGAAATTCTTAATGTGATTTAAAATGATTACGGGGAATAATTAACGCATTTAAACGCTTATTATGGCGCATTATTTAGTTGCGCAGTCACATTTATTTATTATTAATAGGAAAATATGGAATTAATTGAAGAAGTCAACAAACTTCGTGTTGAGCTACGCAACGCCCGACATCGAGTTCATAATCTTGAATCTACGATGGGCATCAACCGTAAACAAGGAAACAAAGCTCAAGAAATTCTTGAGCGCATCATTGGTGCTCGACCGAATCCTGTGATAGTAGCGGATTTAGAACAGGCCAACCGAACACTTCATGAACAGTCGAACTTCATATACGGACTTCAACAGCGTATAATACATGGTCCAGAATACTGTGATGATAATAACAACAATTTAAGTAAATTAAAACTTCCACCACTACAATCAAGTATCGATGACGATCAATCTTACGTGGATCAACGAGCGGCATCTGAGAAAGTAGCCCAATCAAAGTTCGAAACCCTATCTCCCAAGGCGGACTCTGTGGTGTAGAGTCGATCACATGCGAATATGAGAGACTTAAATAGAAATATAGATGCACTACCAATTACCTTTGGTTTCTTTGTTTCGAAGGGTTGGTATTTAATCAATAATGCAATTAATAATATTTATGTTACGATATGGTCACTTTATTAAACACGTTGAGTACTTATTACTTAAGTTCTTATTAGCGACAAATGAATATAAAAATGAGCTGTAATCGAAATAGATTTTGTTTTTACGTACTCTCAACCATAAATGCACCATTCTGTTACGTGATAATGTTGGTTTAAGACATCAATTGAATTCATAATCTTGAGTCATGGATACAGTAAATGCCGTATATCTTAGCCATTTAACGTCCAAATTATTTTTTGACAAATGCACCCAACTGCACTCACAAGTGTCTCACAGCAGAATGATGCTGCCGACGTGATGATGAGTTTTGGTGGTACCGGATGAAGGCAATGAATGTATTGAACGTGTTTCAGACGGAAATACCACCTTTTGTTACGAGTCTAATACCAATGGAGCTTATTTTCAAAGAGGACTGTTTAATCCTAAGGGTGTTAGAGGGTTAAACGATTAGGAAAGTGTATTTATAAGCCAAATTGACTTTATCTATCTGTTAATAATTGAAATTAATATTTGGATCAATAATAATTTACAAGGTAGGATCGATATCAGACACCTATTGACCTAAGTGTGCGAGAGTATTTTGTTAAATTTCATTGGCTGAAAGGCGTAGAAAGCCCAGATTTGATGAAACGTGATTCTTTTGCTCTCCAGGCATGCATAATGGTCAACGTGAACCAGGACAAATTTGTATATAAACTAAGAATTAACAATAGAAACAGTCTGTTAATTTTAGTTTTTTTCGGAACTTGTTCTTATAATATAAACTCTATCAATTTATGCTATATTAAATTCAGCTTTCTATGAGACAATTTTTTGTTCCAGCAGTTTTCGTTGTGACTTTGACAGTATTATTATTAAACTATATGGAATAATATTTATTGAAACATCAGTTACCCTAAATGAACTTCAAAACGAATAAAAAAGCCTAAACTATAATTTTTTTCACAACAAATGTTGAGAAACTAATAATGCTGTTGTGATATTAATGAAAAATGTATCTGATTTGTTGATAAGACCAAAATTGGTAACTATTCTCTCGCTTTAAATCGAAATAACATAAATTATGCGAATATAATCATTTTATAATATGCAAATATCATATTGATATCAATGCAGCAAAGTGTAATTATGCGCATGTTTATAACTATATATAAACATATTTCCAGTTTCAGTGTTTGCATTTTCCATTTCTTTCACTTTTGTTTAAATATTTTTATTTAATTTATTTTCCAATTTGCTTTTTACATGGAGAAGATACAAATAGCTTCATGTTTACTTGGCAGATAATTAATAAATACTTAATTTTAATTTTTCCCTTCTATTTATATTTTATTTTGAATCTATTCTAGATAAAACAAAAAAGGTAAATACATGGTCTGTACAGTATGCATAGTTGAAAGTTAACGAAGGAAAGTGTTGTCAAATAAAAGGCAGTACAGATATGTATTAGTTAGTTCAACTAATTGACTGGTTGCCAATTTAATGAGATGATGAATAAATATGATTATTCGAAGAGAATCACTTAGAATTCTGCATTAGAGGACAAAAGCCATTCAAGATCTGGTGATTGATAACAAAAATGACATCATTAAGATGATTTCGTTAAATTCAGTCCTTATTCAATCAGCACAGTGAATCGTTTTCTTTCTATGTCTCTCCCAGTGAAGTAATCAAATACCAGCAGTGAAAACGGTGTCACGGATTATTAATTTGTAGGAGGAGTATCGAAATCTTTATACCAAGAAAGGGAGATGTTTTAGGGAAACAAATTGCAAATAAATAGAAATGTGAGATAAATACTTAAAATTTAAACCCTTTGTTTAAATGCTTCGTCTTATCGAAAATTGAATAAGACTTCAAAGGTTGTTTGCTTCTTCAGTTAATTAATTTTTTTATTTATTTCAAATGGCAGGCGTTTTGATAGCTATCATTAGCCATTCAGCTGACTTCGGGCTTCACAGAGGGAAGGTTCACCAAAGTAGCAGAAAGTCGAGGGGCGGAGAACAGAAGAGCGATTCACAGATGTAAAAGAGGCAGACAGACACAGAAGTAGAGAAAGGATGAGATCAGCACTGTGAAAGTTGTGGAATATGACATACAGTGGGGTCATGGTAGTTTGAAGTCAACTACCAGGTAATAGTCTTTTTGCCGTGTGAGTATACGTTACCCAGGATGCACCACGTGGAGGCAGGTCTATTGCACACCCTGTTTCTTTAATTTAAATGGTTATTAATTACCGTGACACCAAGTATTCCTTTTCTTTTGTAGATATTAGCCAAGGCGATTTGATCTAGCAAGAAAATTTCATATTACTTAAATAGTTAAGTGTTGGATTTAACCACAGATTAAAAATATATAGAAGTGCTTAAAGTATGAAGTGTTAGGAATAATTTTTTGATTAAAATATTTTTTTATTTTCCAGATGTGTTCAAGAAGTTCTTACACTTCGCTTCCTTTAAAACACTTAACCCTTATTCGTTCATATATGTGTGGTGACAACAAGAATGCAAGACTTGAATCCACTAAACCTTACCTGTTTCGTGGTCATTCGAGTCTGACATTGTAATAAGTGATTATGGTCCCTCGTCAGTGTTCAGTCAACTCCCTGAGGCTGCTGGGGAAAGACAAATGCATCAAAGCATACGATCTGATCTGTAGAATGGAATTACTTGAAAACCCCTTGGAGAAAATAGTGTCGGGGCACCTTGGCATTCGATTCTGGTTTAGAGGCTACACTTCACTGATTGCTTTTGCCTCTGCCATGAAGATTGAACGAACGCAAGTGATTGGTCACTAGTCATACGAAAAAGTGCTCTAGATCTTAGTTGTTCACAAAAGAAGGTACAGGGAAATAGTCCAACAAAGCTGAAAACTTCTGTGTAAAGTGAAAGATCCTGCTAAAGTATAAATAATTAGGTTATTTTCCGATGAGAAAAATTATTGTCAAGGTCAAAAGCACAATGTGCAGAATATGAGATGGCTTGGCTTTCATGAAGATCAAAGGACGCTTTCCAACACATGAGGACTAACTTTCTAGAATTCGCCTTCGTTGAATGTGGTGTTCCTGCCTTCTTCCAAATTTATTTAATGAGGGGATTAAATTAAATGCAGATGTCCACGTGGAATTGTTAAATATGGTAGTATTTAAACCCTGGGTAAGAAGTTTAGGTAATAATAGGCCACAAATGTGACGGCAGCAGGATTCAACCCCCCTCCCTGCCCCAACTCTGAGGAAAGTTAAGATAGTTGCACCCAATTTTTACTTCCTTACCAGCCCCAATGCTTAGCCTCCCAATTACCCAAATCTTTACTCGATAGACTAATACATATTGCAGCACTGTCGAGCCCATACTACAAACACCCATTTAATCGACAGGATGAAGTAAACTATTGAGATCTTTCCACAGAGGAAGAGCAAAATCTAATGGAGACTCCAATAGGCGATAATGACAGTTATTTAAAGAAAAAAATCTTTGAGAGTGTAGCTAGGTCATTGTCTATTTGATTTCCTTAAGAGTTATTGAAAGCTATATCCAACAGCCCCCGTTTATGCTTCCTGATGAGATTGTCAAATTTATCTGACCTGACTGTAGATGCAAATAGTATTCTTTAATTATTCGACAAGTCACGTTTTGCTTGATCTGTCCAAAATATTCATAATACTATGATTAAGAAGCCCAACTGTTGCAAGGGCGAACAATTCCGAATTTTCATTTCTCTCGCACTTTATTATCGATTATTGATTTCCCTCGTTTAAACCTAGATGTGTAAGACCGCCTGTGAAAAAGCTGTTTCTAAAACCATTGGCTAATCCAGCAGCTAATCATTTATCACTTACTTCAAGCCAATATAAGTAAATTTATTTTGTTAATAAAAACGGTCTTTTGAATTATACGTCTTCGCTTTCCCCCTTCTTTGAGTCTGACCAGCTGTAGCTTTAATAAAAAGCAATGAGAAGATATAAGAGTTATTCTAGGAGACCTCTTTATTAAAAGAAATGTTTGTACAAATGGACAATTTGAAGATTGAAAATACTTCCTATCAAATATGTTTGAAGTTATACATAATACTGCATTGCAATTAGTGTTATTAATAACTGAGATGGTAAGATTTATAACATTTTGTCAATACCGACTGAAATTTTAGTTAGAATGAATAAGACCAAGAATTTAAGTAAGCTAAAAAGATCTTTTAAGGCCTATGCGAATGATTAGAGTAAGGCAACGAGTTTTAAAATATATTTACATGCAAACGTTTTAATGCAACCAATTATATGGTCGACTACACGGAAATCGCACCACTCCTACAGTTTCAGCGAACAGTAGTTTTATCTAAGATGCACATGACAAGCCAGAACAGTGGATTTTTTAGCAAATATTAAGCCAACGAAGAAAAGCGTTGTAAATCTGCACATCTGAAACCACATTTTTAAAATCCCATACGTTGTTGGATAAAACATGTTTATGGGTCTTTTATTAATTGGAAAGGTAATTCCTGGCTTTTGAAATAAAATGAATCAAACCATGACGCTATAATTTAAAATTCAAAACTTTTAATGTCTTTTATCATTCCCAAAAGTCTATCCAAAAGATAATCACGATTTTTAGTGATTTTATTCTTCCATTTGATAAGAATACAACTATGAAGTGTCACTTATTGATTTTCTATTGATTGAGCCAGCGTCCTCTGAAAGTTCGAAATGGTCTTTGAGTTACATTGGAGGTTTTTTTGATTAAATCCATAAGATAGTGTTTATATCTGTGCTCACTCTAAACTCACATACATGTTGGGCAGTACTTATTTGCTTTAATGGAAGATATGATCATACATTTAATCTCATTCAATACATTGCAGTGTATGTTAAATTAACTTAA